GAATGGAGTGACTCTGTCAGATCTTGCTGTGATATCTGGTTGGCATTGATGATTTGGAAATGCTTTCCATTGAAAGTACTGTTTAAAAAAAAGGCAAATAGAAAGCTCCCCCTCCCCAGGTCCAGGACACTGAGAAGGAACCAGCACCCTTCGGCGCATGCTCCACTCACTATGCCAGGCTCAGTCTCTGATTGGTTGGAGGACCACACCCACCACACCCCTCCCTTTTTTTCACTTGCCCTCCCCCCTCCGTAGGCTCCTATTTTCTCTGAGGAAGGGTCGCCGGACCGGAAACGTTAACTCTGTTTTCTCCTCCACAGATGCTGCCAGACCTGCTGAGCTTTTCTAGCAACTTTGTTTTTGTTCCCATTTTCTCTGATTGGTTGGGGCATCCGGCCCTTGCTTACTATTGGTCGTGAGACGTCAGCAATCAGACGGGTCGGTTGCTGGAGCATACGCACAGTTAATTGGGATCGCGAGCGCGAATGGAATGTTGCGTGTGATGGCCTGAAAGAAGTGTTCGAATATCTCATGCATAGGCGGTAAGTAAAAATTAAAGGCAGCGTTTGTCGAAATATTCCGGCAAGAAGAATTAAAGGTTCAGCGGGAGGTATGGTACGCACGCGTGTTTAGTGTTGTGACTTTGCTGTATGGGCGGTTCCGAAAGTTACCCCGCCTCCCACCCCTCCGTCTCAATCTCCGCCAGTTTCTCCACTCCTCTGCAGTTTTATTTGATAACTCTCGTTGGGAGGTTTTACTGCGGTAAAAGTGCAATATGAAGTTGGATATGATAAAAAGTAGCAATCCCGTTAGAATCCAACTCCTTGAACACGGCAGGCAAAGCAGCATCTTGGCCTGCTGTGTTCATCTAGCTCTGCACCTTGTTGTCTCGGATTCTCCAGCATCTGCAGTTCCTACGATCTCAGAATCCAACTCCTACAACCTTGCAAGTGTCTCAGCAACTGGATTTCTGATTGAATCCTTCCTGCACATGGAGCGGGGGAATGGTCTCTATCCCCGGCGTGACTGCATCATTTTGTGGCCAGCTCGGGTAGGGAACTAAATCCCTGTCATTGTCCTAATAGTTCCACAGTGTAGGTATCTTTTGTTTCTCCTGGCTGGATAATCAGATAAAGTCTAATCGAATGGACAGAACATCCATATAGTTGCTCTTAGTTGTAAACGGTGTGGTTTGTTTTCCCCCAGTCTAAGTTAAAGCTCTGTCCACAGTCAGTTCGGAAGACCATATCTAATAAGCACGAGAGTAGGCCATTCAGCCACTTGAGCCTGTTCTGTCATTCAGTAAGATCATTCCTTGTTTCCCCTGCTAGCATTTTTCTTTTAACCCTCGATCAACAATCGATCTATCTCCGCCTTAAATACGCACATGGTCTCTGCACCCATAGCTTGGTGGCAGGGAGTTCCAACTCTTGGGAGGAAATTCCTCTTCATCTCAGTTTTGAATTGGACCCCTTTATTCTGAGACTACACTTTCTAGCTCTAGTTTCTTGGATAGGCACAGTTTGATTCGTGATAGTATGGATTTGTGAGGGGTAGATCATGCCTCACAAACCTTATTGAATTCTTTGAAGAGGTGACCAAACACGTGGATGAAGGTACAGCAGTGGATGTGGTATACATGGATTTAAGTAAGGCGTTTGATAAGGCTCCCCATGGTAGACTCATACAGAAGGTAAGGAGACATGGGATAGGGGGAAAATGTGGCAGACTGGATTCAAAATTGGCTGACCCTTAGAAGACAAAGGGTGGTAGTGGACGGAAAATATTCAACACGGTGCTCAGTTATGAGTGGTGTACCACAAGGATCTGTTCTGGGTCCTCTTCTATTTGTGATTTTTGTAAATAATTTGGATGAAGGACTGGAAGGGTGGATTAGCAAATTCGCGGACAATACGAAGGTGGGTCGAGTTGTGAATAGTGCAGAGGGCTGTTCTAGGTTATAAAGGGACATTGATAGAATGCAGAGCTGGGCTGAGAAGTGGCAGATGGAGTTTAACCCTGAAAAGTGTGAGGTGATTCATTTTGGAAGGACAAATTTGAAAGCAGAATACAGGGTTAATGGAAAGATTCTTGGCAGTGTGGAGGCGCAGAGGGATCTTGGGGTTCATGTCCACAGTTCCCTGAAAGCTGCCACCCAGGTGGATAGAGTTGTTAAGAAGGCGTATGGGGTGTTAGCTTTCATTATTTAGGGGGATTGAGCCGTGAAGTTATGCTCCAGCTATACAAAAGCCTGCTTCGGCCACATCTGGATATTGTGTCCAGTTCTGGTCGCCTCATTACAGGAAAACTATGGAAGTGTTGGAAAAGGTGCAAAGGAGATTTACCAGAATGTTGCCTGGAATGAAGGGAAGGTCTTACGAGGAAAGGTTGAGAGCGCTAGGGCTTTTCTCTTTAGAACAACGAAGGATGGGAGGTGACTTGATAGAGGTGTACAAAGTGATCAGAGGTATAGATAGGGTGGACAGCCAGAGACTTTTTCCTAGGGTGGAGGTAGCTATTACGAGGGGACATTGTTTTAAAGTGAGTGGAGGTAGATATAGGGGAGACGTCAGAGGTAGGTTCTTTACTCAGAGAGTGGTTGGGGTGTGGAATGCATTGCCGGAGAGGGTGGTGGAGTCGGCCTCATTAGGGGCATTTAAGTGGCTATTAGATAGGCATATGGATGACGGTATAAGGTAGGGGTGGAGCTTAGATAGACTTTAAGTTTAGGGTAAAAGTTCAGCACAACATACTGTGCTGTCCTGTTCTGTGTTCTAAACACAGCAATGATTTATACCCAATAACCCTTGTTTACAACCCCATTCACACAAAAGACAGACAAACAACCGGTTCAGGGATAAATTTAAATTAGTAAAAGATAAGAAAACTGACTCGATTACTTAAGTAGCTTCCATGATGCTTTGTTTCACAGGTGCATGGGACTGTCAAATCTTCATGCTGCCTCAACAGCCAAACTCCTTTCTTTTCCAGAAAATCTCAGTTCAAAACACTCCAGCCCTTCCTTCTATTTGATCATGTTCTCTGCTAGATTTGCTGGCACCAGTTCCCAGATACTGACCTCATTAAATGACCAAACATCTGCTATCCAGTTAAGCACACTGCCACACTCCAAACTCTACAAGAATCCATCTGCAATTAACTTCAAATACAGACGACTTGTTTACTTGCTTTTTTAAACACAAACTGCTACTCACAGTCCAAAGCTCACCGTTTAGCTCTCAGATTCAAACCAAAAATGATTTTCAAAAAATCAACAAGAGTTCTAATACAGCACACTGACTGGAAAGAGCTATAACCAGTGACACAGACTGAGTGAGTGTGACACTACTTGTTGGAGTTTAAACCAATGAGACATGTGATGATCTCGCTGAAAGATATAGGATTCTGAAGGGGTTTGATAGGTTAAATGCTGAGAGGATGTCTCCCCTAATTGTCCTAATTGTCCGCGAATTTGCTAATCCACCCTTCCAGTCCTTCATCCAAATTATTTACAAAAATCACAAATAGAAGAGGACCCAGAACAGATCCTTGTGGTACACCACTCATAACTGAGCACCGTGTTGAATATTTTCCGTCCACTACCACCCTTTGTCTTCTAAGGGTCAGCCAATTTTGAATCCAGTCTGCCACATTTTCCCCCTATCCCATGTCTCCTTACCTTCTGTATGAGTCTACCATGGGGAGCCTTATCAAACGCCTTACTTAAATCCATGTATACCACATCCACTGCTGTACCTTCATCCACGTGTTTGGTCACCTCTTCAAAGAATTCAATAAGGTTTGTGAGGCATGATCTACCCCTCACAAATCCATACTGACTATCACGAATCAAACTGTGCCTATCCAAGTGATCATAAATCCTATCTCAGAGAAAGGCTGAGGAGACTGCAGTCTGCTGTAGGAAGATGCTTGAGCATTCCCTAGTGACTGAGATTTTGGGAAAAGTGTCCACATGCACATCTTTCTCACTGGGCGAGCTACCAATTTGGTAGAAACTGAAATACAGATAAGGGAGTTGTGGGGGGGGTGGGGTACATTTGAGGCCTGTTCTCTCCCTTTGCCCTTGTGAACGCCTGACCCATTATTTGTTTCACTGTCCTCATCTTCTCCCACCCCAGCATCGAGTGGGCCAGCAGCGTGGACTCCAGGCGCCGTCACCAGAGGCGAGTTTCGGTTCCCAGCAGCTTCTGCATTGATGAGGTAGTCCTTGCATTGATGAGGTAGTCCTAGCATTGACTCATGGCTGCTGCTGTGGAGGCACGTTTGGGTCCCCAGTAGCGTCTGTGTTCCGTGCAGATTCATGGAGGCAGAGGTAAGTCTGAGGCCCAATATGAGACCCAACAACACCAGCAGCAGCTGCATTGGCGAGGTGGACTTGAAGTGGATTCATGGTGGCAGAGTCGAGTTTCAGCCAGTATGGTACCCAGCAGAGTCGGTGGTGTCTGTATTGTTGAGATCCAAGGAGGGCTCATAGCGGTGAAGTCATCGGTGGAGTTTAGATGGTGCGGAAGAATGGTGATTTCCATTCCAGCAACTGTGGCCAGCTGAAGGGAATGCATACCTGGCCACCAGGCCCATGACAGAGCACTTAACAAGAAGGACTGTAAAGTTGGACACTTTCTTTATTTCTTCATTTTTCTGCATTTATATTGTATATTTTGGTTTATTTTTCTGTTTTAGGATGGTGCTGGAGAGTGGCAACTCTATAGCACACTTTTCACTGTATTGTAACAAGATACATGTGACAATAAACAAATCAAATGCATAGAGAACATGTTTTCCTTAGAAGAAGAGACTAGGACTGTAGGGCACAGCATCAGAGTGAAGGGACAACCCTTTATAACTGAGATGCAAAATTTCTTCAGCCAGAAGCTGGTGAATTGTAACCAGAAAACTGGAGGCCGAATCATTTGGTGTATTTAAGACAGAGATAGGTTCTTGATTAGTAAGGGGATCAAGGGTTATGGGGAGATGTCAGGAGACTGGGGTTGAGAAATATCAGCCATGATTGAATAGTGGAACTGAATCAACGGGCCGAATGGCCTAATTCTGCTCCTTTCCCTTTACGGTCCTATTTGGCCAATTGAGCCTGTTCCGCTGTTCTGTAAGATTGTAGCTGGGCTGATTCCGACTTCAACTCCTTTCCTTCCAATCCCCTGGGACCCTGTCTTTGCATTTCTAACCTCAACTGAAACTTCTGATTTCTGTCATCTCCTTTCCCAGGGATTTATAAAATTTGAAGGCAGCAAGAATTTATTTTCCCGGCTTCGATATCTTTCCAGCTGCAGACTCCAGCAGGAGTTTTGAAAATAGTTGGGTTCTTTGAGAGGTGAGTATTTTTGAGCATTCATCTACAATTTCAATCTTTCTGAGCAGTCCTGTGGTTTCATGGCCCTTGGGCTGGTGTGGCTACTTGACTGTGGATCTGAATCCATGTCCATCTCTTGCTCTGTTTTACCTCTGATCTGATTTATTGTTGTCTTGTCCACTCACCTCTCAGCCTTGAATGATGGTTTTATTTTAACCTTGTTTGGTATTTTGTTGTTATTTCTGCTGATTGTGTTTAATTGAGATTTCTGTTGCTGCTCATCTCTGGTTATATGCCTTTGTGCAATTCTTGGATAATGAGTTGTTCACAGGCACTTAGAAATTAGATCAGGTTTTAAGACAGCAGTGAATACCAACAGTTTCAGCAAACATCCATAAATATTTACTTATTTCATATATACTATGTGTCCTTTCTCAGAACATTCAACAATTAATAACTGGATAGAAAATGAGACTGTGCAAAATGGAGCATTCAGTCACAAAGCTTTCAAAATCACTCTGCCCCTCCTTGACCTTTTTGAACTGATGCAGTCCATGTGGTGAAGCTGCTCCCAGATTGCTGTTCAGTAAGGAGTTACAGAATATTCTTCCAGTGATAAGGTAGTGCTGAGATCTGTCACAGTTCCAATCATTTTTTATACTACCCACCTTTAATATAATAGGAACAGGAGTAGGACTTTTTGATCCTGCTTCACTATTCAGTGCGATCATGGCTGATCATCCTACTCAGCCTGTTCCCACTTTTGTCACATTCCCTTTGATCCCTATCCATCATCTTCTTAGAAACATTCAATTTTTTTTGCATCTACTAAAGCTTGGGCCACTTTTACTCTGGGGTGTAGATTATCAGGTGCTGTGATTTGTTGGCTTTTAATCCCATCAATTTCCCCACTAATACTGATTTCCTACAGTTCCTCCCTCATGTGTTCCCCAGCATTTCAGGGATATTGTTTGTATCATTCTTTGTGATTGTGGTCAATTGGTCTGCCATTTCTTTATTCCACATTATAACTTCTCCTAATTCTGATTGTAAAGGATCTACATGAGTTTTCAGAAATCTTTTTGTCTCTTCATATACCTTTTAGGAGCTCTTACAATTAGTTTGTATGTTTCCTGCAAGTTCACTCTCAAAAGCTGTTTTTCCCCTCTTAATCAATCCCTTAGTTCTCTTATTGCCAAAATCTGAACTGCTCTGTCTTTTAGATCTGCTGCTGTCTTTAGCCAATTCATATGCCTCTTGCTTGGATCCAGTACTATCACAAATATCCCTTGTTAGCCATGGCAGGGCTGCTTTTCCAGTTTGTTGTGTCAGACAGTAATGAACAACAGTTGCAGTTTCTCCAAGTGCTCTTTAAATGTTTGTCATCCATTTAAGTCATGTTCCCCAATTTATTGTAGCCTGCTTGCACCTCAAACCATCATAATTTTCTCTTTTTAGATTTTGGCCCCTAGTCTCAGAATCAACTGTCACACTCTATCACTTTGAAATTCTTCACTCTTCCACAAGGGGCTTCACACAGCTAGACTATAAATTATTCCCTTCTCCATACACAATCACAGTTTTTAAAATTAAATTGCCATAGTCCCAGAGAATCACAGAACTCCTCTCTAGAGAAAGAGAGAGAGGACTAGTGGTGCTTTAACCTGTGGGTCACCATGTATTGGGCAAGGGGCAAGGTGAAGAATGTGGGACCTTCATGGTGACCTCAGCTGGTTGAGCACATGCTGTTGAAGTCACTCTGAATTGCAAACCAGCCATCTAGCCAACTGAGCTAATCCAACCCCCCACCTCTGCCAGCCATTTACACAATATACAGGTGAGGATGGCTTGTCTTCCATTTGGGTCCTCAATGTATCAATCGAAAAACCATCTTGTGCATCCTCCAGAAATTTGTCTGATATTAATGATTTGATTTGCTCAGTCTATACACAGATTGAAGTCACCCATAATAACCATAAGACCACCAGATTATAGGAACAAAATTAAGCTATTCAGCCCATCGAATCTGCTCCACAATTTGATCCTGGCTAGTGTTTCTCAACCTCATTCTCCTGCTTTCTGCTGTAACCATTGATCCCCTCACCAATCAAGAACCTATATATTTGTGTCTTGAATATACTTGGCCTGCTCTGAGTTCCACAGAATCGCCTCCCTCTGGCTGAAGAAACTCCTCACTTCAGTTCTGAAGGGTTGTCCCTTCTCTGAGGTTGTGCCCTTGGGTTGTAGTCTCTCTTCACATCATCTTCACATCCACTCTATCCAGGCCCCTCGGTATTCTGCAAGTTTCAATCATATCCCCCTCGTACTTCTAAACACTATCAAACACAGGCCTGGAGTCCTCAACTGCTCCTTGTATGACAAACCCTTAATCTCTGGGATCAGTCTTGTCAATCACCTCTGGATCCCTTCCATCACCAGCACATGCTTCCTGCTCTCAATACTCCAAATGCAGTCTGACTAGAGCTGATATATCCTCAGCAGTACATCTGTTCTTGTATTCTAAGCTTCTTGAAATAAATGTTGAAATGGCATTTGCCTTCCAAACTGCCAACTGAACCTCCATGTTAACCTTTGGAGAGTCTTGAACTAGGACACCCAAGTCTCTGCACTTATTTCCAAAGTCTTCCCCTATTTAGAAACTAGTCTACACCTCTGTTCTATCTGCCAAAGTGCACAACCTCACACTTGTCCACATGTTCCATCTGTCACTTGCTTGCCCACTTGCCTAGCCTGTCCAAGTTCTTCTGCACCCCCCCACTTCCTCAACACTACCTGTCCCTCCACCTATCTTTGTGTCAACTGCAAGCTTGGCAATAATGTTCAGTCCCTTCATCCAGATTGCTAACGTATAACATGAATAATTGTGGTTTCAACACTGACCCCTGCAGAACTCCACAAGTCACCAGTTACCATCCTGGAAAAGTTCCCTTTATTCCTACTCTTTGCCTTCTGCCAGTCACCCAATCCTCTATCCATGCCACTTATACTGTGGGATCTTATTTAGCAGCCTTTACGCAGCACTTTGTCAAAGGTCTTGTGGAAATCCAAAACATCGCATCCAGTGGCTCTTCTTTGTCTAATTGCTCATTACCTCCTCAAAGAATTCTAACAGATTTGTCAGGCATGACCTCCCACTGACCAAGCCATGCTGACTCTACCCTATTTTACCATGCACTTCCAAGTGTTCTGCATCAAGCTGTCTGTAGACCATCAGTAATGCAAACACCAAGTGTCACTACTTACTGAGGTTCTACCTGTCACCATTGTTATGAAGGATAGGTCTGGCCTCCAAGTAGTTGGACCATCCTGTATCACCTGTTCCTTGTGGAGAAATTTGTGAAGAAAATACTTTGCAAAGGAAGTGTGCAGAAAGATGCAGTGGTTTTTGCCGCGGTTCATCTGTGACACAGGACTCTGTGCTCTGTGGTCTGTTCCCTGGGGGACACACCAAGACAAGCATAAACTGCGCTCAGATGACCATCAACTCGGTGAAAGACGCACTTTGGTCTTCCAAGTGAAAGAGTTGACTCCAACCAAATATTACAGACTGGCTCATTCCAAGGTCCTGAACTAGGTGCTAAGGGATGCTCTAAAGCTTAGGGCAGCCGCAGCCAAGGCAGTGAGGTCTTCCTGCGAAAGGTAAATAGGTGTCTGTTCAGTTTTCAGACCTCCTGATGCCTTAGATACATGTAAGTAGCTCCTAATACCCAGCATAATTAAGAAATGCATTTAGATTAGTTATAACTGAGAAAGTCAAACTCCCAATGTTTTCTTCTGTATGCAAAAACTGTATTGATCTGAACTGCTTTAGTAACTATGAATATAAAGATTTCCTTGTTAATGTACATTTTTGCAAATTAAACTTCAAGAACAGTTCTAATCCAACTTACATTGAATTTTATGACTGGGACATGAGCAAGGCTAAAGAGGCCAGCATTCACTGCTGTGACAGTTTTTTTTACAACTGTTCAGTGAGTAGTTAAGGATTGTCAGACAGCAGCTATAAAGAAACAGCAACATGTCCACAAGAGGACAGTGTGTGCCTGGGAGGGGAGTTTATAGGTGATGTGTTCCTCAGACATGTTAGTCTTGACCTTGGAGGGAGGCTCTGTCAGTGTTATTCCTGTGAGCAGATAGAGGAAACCATGTCCTTAAGCATCCCACTGTTCTCACTGTCTCTCCTCCCACTGAGGGCTGAGTCTTGTGGAGTCCAGGACAGGCAGTGGGTCCCCTTCCCTGAAGGACATTCGTGAAATCATTGAGTTTTTATGACAATCAGTAACTTCATGGTCACAATATCTGAGTGGTTTCTCACAAATTAATATATTCAATAAACTCCATTTCACAACCTCCTTTCGTGTCTTAAAACAATTCTCTTTCTCATACTCCCTTTTTCCTGATTTAGATTTGTTTTGCTGAGAATCACAGGCACATTTATATCAAGAATTCCAAACAAACATCCCATTAAGATCTCAGAGTGAGTCAATCCACCAGGACTTGTAAACTATTGGATTTTCAAAGTTTGTCTGTTCTGTCTGTGGGAAAAGATTTCAAACATCAGTGTGACAGGAAATGCACCAAGATGTATCCACTCAAATGAGTGTTCTAGTGAACTGACTGTGGAGAGAGCTATAGCCAGTTACACAGCCTGAATAACATCACACCATTCACAGTGGGGAGAAACTGTATCGCTGTCCTGTGTATGGGTAAGGAGTCAGCTGATCATCCAATATGGAGAGACATGAGGAGAAATGCACCACAGAAATCATGGAAACATGCAGACTGTGGGAAGTGATTTAAACATCCATACCTGCTGGAAACTCATCGCAGTCACACTGGGGAGAGAGGCTGCACACCTGCTCTGTTTGTGGGAAGGGATTCACTCAAACATTTGATCTTCTGAAACCTGAATGCACTCACACTGAGGAGAAGCCGTTCATCTGTCCTGAGTGTGGGAAGGGATTCAATAACTCATCCAACCTGCAAAAACACCAGCAAAT